AGGAAGGAAGGAAGGAAGGAAGGAAGGAAGGAAGGAAGGAAGGAAGGGGAGGAGGGGAGGAGGGAGGGAGGGAAGGAGGGAGAGAGGGAGGGAGGGAGGGAAGGAAGGAGGGAAGAAAGGAGAGAGAGAGAGAAAGAGAGAGAGAGAGAGAGAGAGAGAGAGAGAGAACGTCGAACGTTGGACATTTCACTTCCTCCTCTGTTCCTACAAGGTAATGGTCAGAGAATAAAACAGGTTAACCTGCTACATTCTGCTTTTGTAGGAAGCACTTGCTTGTTTGGACGTCTGAAGCATCTGCAGGATGACTGTTACAAGATAAAGCATTGTTCACACCCAGACAGGAATATGGTTATTTGGCTCCCCAAATTAAAACTTTGAACGCTTTTTTCCTTTATACTCCACTGACTAACAATAGCCAGGGCATTACCTAGAGAACATCGGGTTTGTTCCTGGCTGGTGTCTTTAATTAAAAGTCTCCAATTCATTAAAACCTAGACTGAAGTCAGGCTCATAAATTTCTAACGAACCTGGAACCCACAATAGAAGGGTAGCTTGCCTAGGGTTAGGTGCCCACACCTGAGTTAGCAGTCTCCAGTGGGGAATCTAGAGGGTCAGACCAAGATTCTCTACCATGAACTCTGCTCTCATGGGCATGCCACAGACTTAGTAAGACAACCTCAAACAGCTTGACCCATCTGAGACCTCCTCTAAAGGACCTCCCAAGTGTTTCGTGCAAACCAGCCATTTCTAGGAATAGAAACTGAAACCAACTCTGAGTGCAGCCCCTTTCCTGGAGGTGGTTTGTTTGACTAGAGCTCTTATCCAGTCTGGAAACTGTACACAGCAATGGTGGGTGGAGACCAGGAATGATGAAGTAACTTTAAGAAGACCCGGCTGCCATCCCAAGTGCTCCACCTTTCTCTTTGCAGTTCTCCCTAGGACTCAGAACTCCAGCACTCACTGCTTTTCTTCCTGAACACCCTGAGTCTGAATTCCAGTTCTAGAGCATTCCAAGGCAACTGCCCCTGCTGCAGTGCACAGACCTCTCCTAAGAGGAGAGCTTTCCCAGAGGCACCACTGTCCTCAGATCAAGGCCACCACTGCTGAGGTGAGTGAAGGGATCTAAGTTCAGCTTGGCCAATAGCCCTATGTGTGTGATAACATGAGCAGGGGAGCACTGACTCCAGGGCAGGAGGGCGTGGGGATTTCACTCAGGGAACACTCACAGTAGCATCCTTCTGTGCCATCTTCTGTGCCACAGAGAATCCCAAAGCAGACAAGCAGCAGCCCTTCCTTCCACCTGCTTGTGTGGACCTAGCTGGTCTTCTGAAGTAGTTGAGCTTGGAGAAAGACAGTAGGCTGAGATACCCAGATGCTCTTGGAGTCTTTGCTGTACCCCATGGAGAAAAAATCCCAGATGAGAAACAACCATCCACAGTGTCTGGCAGAGCAGTTGAGTCCCCTGGCTTTCAGGAATCTGCTGCTGTCAGTCGGTTGTTATTCTGATGGCACCATCTTTACACTTCCTGTTGTTTTTCTTTGGCAGTTTGCAGACATTTGGCCCTGTATTTTCAGGGGTTTAACTGTGATATGACTTCAGGAGTTTCTTTTCCTGCCCTGTGTATCTGGAGATCTATATGCCTTTGTATCTGTCTTGAAGTGCATTTCTCTCCCTAAATTTGGAGACATTCTTGCTAGGGTTCATTGAGAATATTTTTTATGCCATTGGAATGGAGTTCTGCTCCTTCTCTGTGGATGTGTTTCATGCTGTTTCAAAGGACACATGTAGTCTGCTCATAGAGGTATTTTTTATTTTATTTTTATGGTTATTGCTGACAAGGTCTTTCCACTTTTCTACATTGTCCTAAGCTCTCTCCTCCATATGATCCACTCTGATGGTGAGTCTTTGCTCTGAGCATTTGGTTTATTGCATTTTTCATCTCTAGCTTCACTTAAGTCAAGATTTTGCTCAGCATTTCTCATTGAATTTTATTTTCATGCCCTTTGTTGACCTGTCGTTCATTCAAATGATTGTTTGAATCTTCTTTCTTTGATCACATTTACATCATCCTTGTGAATTCTTCATCTGGAATTTTATCTAAGTCATTCTCATGAAGACCGTTACTCTGGAGTTTGTATTTTTTAATAGGGGATGAGCTGTCAAGGATTTTCATATAACTGAGTTTTTGTGTTTGTGTATGCTTAGATCACTGGTTAGATTTTCTTTGGCATATATTTGGTATATATTCCTTTGGTATATATTTACTGCCTTACTTAATTCATAATAGGAAGTACTTGGGTGGGCTTTGAAGGCTCTGCTACTTGGTCATCAGGGGCCAGGTGAACTTGGATGTCTGAGACTCAACAGGGGGAATGCTGACCTCCCTGGTGAGTAGGTGGGTAGACAGCTGGCAACTCTGACAGTCCAGATAGTGGATGGGCAAGAGGCCTGGCAGGCACTGAATTTGTGGGATCTGAAGTCTCTGAGGGACAGGGGGGTCTCCTCATGGGGTAGGTAGTGGGTACGCAGGAAGATTGACAGCCACCAGTATTAATATGTAAGTGATAATCTCATGAAGCAGGCAGCTGGTCAGGTGGTTTCTGATCAGTGTTTTGGAGACAATATTCTACAATGTAACCCTGGCTGGCTTAGGGACATCACTGTAATGTCCTTAGATAGTTATGGTGAATTACATTCTTTGGAGGATGGTCTCCTCAATGCCCTTGCCTCTAACAGTAGTAATTACTTTTTAATTTTACCTTTTATTTAATTTAAATGTTTGCCATGAAGCAAGAGTCCTTTTGTTTATTACAATATCAGAGCATCCTTCTCCCTCTCCTCCCTGCTGTCCCTTCCATAGCTCCTGTTCCCTTTCAGATGTGTGCTCTCTAACTCTTTATTACTGCGACAGTGTACTAACAAATAAACACATACACTCAACCTGCTGCCTTTAATACAGCTTACATACATAGATATATAGGTAAATGATAGATGATCAGTACAAGATAGATAGATAGATATATAGATAGATAGATGATAGACAGACCGACAGACAGGTTTTAGGGCTGAACATTTGGAACTGAATGATCAACTAGGGAGCTCCTCTCTTGGGGAGACTACTTCTGCCTCTCTGTAGCTTTTTACCACTTGTGCCTCTTCATCTAAGTGTGACAACCCACGCAATTTCCCACATTCACTTTGGCACATCAACTGTTGGTGCCAGTGTTCAGGTCCTGTTTGAAAGGCCATAGTGTTGAGGTTTCATGGGTATCTTGGTCATATCCAGTAGACTCAATCTTACAGCGGACTGTGTTGTCTTCCTATTCTTGTGTCGTCTGCACCCTCCTCCTCAGTGTTTTCTCTCTCTTAGGTTAAGGCTCAAACGATCAACCGAGGCTGGGCACCGCAAAGTCAGCTGTTTTCTGCTTTGTTACCAGCTGTGTCTTTCTGAAGTGATCTCTCACTGCTGTGAAAAGGAGCATCTTTGGTGGCGAGAGAGCTCCGTGTACCTCTGGGTATAAAGAAAAAGGTTTAGAAAGCAGTTAGGAATATTCTGGGATAGGAAATTGGCCACAGTGGATTCTCCTCTGAGATCTGTGACCTCACTAGCAGCACATGGTGGTTGGTTAGGTTTTCAGTTACCAGGCACGATTTTCCTTTTGTTCAGCCAGCGTGATGCACAATTAGACAGGTGTGGGTCACCACCAACACAAAATGCCACCCCTGCACCTTTAGCTACCTCAGTGTGATGGTCATCACTGTGGCTCACGGGAGTCCCAGCTGGGCAGGATTACAGAACATTCTCCTCCCTTGGAAACTCTCACAGCTCCTTCTGATTTTAGGGAAGCTGAGCCTCGGAGAGGAGACCTTGGATCAGATGCAGCTTGATTGCTATATGTCCTTTATCTGAAGTGTCCTGTGTCTTCAGCACAGCGCCCTTCAACTTCTGGGGCTCAAGCAAGGGCAACAGCAGAAGCCTGTGCTGTTTGAGGAGTATCATGGGGTCCCCTGAACCACAACTCGAGAGAAGTTTCTCATGCCTGACAATGATGTTTCTATTACTCTATGACTCAGAGAGGAGGCATTACTAGCCAATGGCATAACGTCATTTAAAGTGTATAAATATACATATACCTACACACACGCAGACAGCATGTGTATATGTATAGTTAAGTAAATATGAAATGAGAGGATTCCAAAAGTCGTCTTTTTCTATAGTTCTCATTCTTTCCCCAAGTTATTCCTGGTGTTTTCTGGAGTCTCTGAGCCAGCATGGTTTTGAGAAATGTTATGACCTTAAAAATCTAGTCAGCATTATGCAGGATGCTTGTCAGAGTTATCCCAGGATGCCCCTCCTCTCAGTACCTGGGGTGGAAGCTCTGATTCTCAGTTGTCTTGATTTTTGACCTAGTCACCCAAGAGAACACAACACAGAGATGTACCCAACTGAGCATCTGAACACCAGGGAGCAGGGTCCCTAACTTAGGTGCCTCCAAACCATGAATGTCATGTCCCACCTCTGCTGAGAGAAGTAAGGGAAATCACAGTTAGTTGGACATCTCTTTTCAATTCAGCCATTCCAATCCCTTGTCTGGTCTCATGTCCTCATAAGAATAACTATCCAAAGAGACCAGAAGCCTTGAGGTCCCACAGGCAACTCAGTGAAGTGTTCAGGTGAAGTTGAGGACCCAACCAGGAGAAATGTTACTTCTTTCTTGTCCTTCAGGGTTGATATCATGTATGGGTGTCATTTTAATGAAAATAAAGGCATTTAAATGGAACTTCAAATTGATAATAAAGGCTGCAGTGGGTAACTGCATAGAGTAAGTGGAGACTGAATTAGACAATGAAGTACAAGATAATTCCTAGGAGTGTGAGCAAGAGGCTTCTTCATTTCCAGGGCAGCAATTGCAGCAGCAACCAAGAGAAGAGGAGACAGACAGTGCCAGCTCTGACGTGGGTTAGGGTCAGGGTCCTGCTTTACTGAACCAGCAAACACCAAGGCTTTGCTCTGCTTTAATTAATGATTACGATTTCTCTCCTCTCAGCTCCATTCAGCCTCTACCCTACCGAGTCATGGCTTGGGCCTCCAGCATCAATGAATTCTTTAAGAATTTTAAGAGGGAAAGCCAAATCCTCTCTGAAGAAACCATTGCCTTGATTAAATCCCACATCGAGAACAGAAACCTCCAGGAAGCACTTTCTGTAATCCACAGTGCACTGAGTGACATCGAGAATGCCTCCCTGAACATTGCTGTGACAGGGGAGACAGGATCGGGGAAGTCCTCGTTCATCAATGCCCTGAGAGGGGTGGGGCATGAAGAAGAAGGTGCAGCCCGCACTGGGGCGACAGAAACCACCATGAAGAGAACTCCTTACCTACACCCAAAGCTTCCCCAGGTGACAATATGGGACCTGCCTGGCATTGGATCCACTTCCTTCCCACCAGAGAAGTACCTAACAGAAATGAAGTTTGGTGAATATGACTTCTTCATTATCATTTCTACTTCACGCTTCAAAGAAAATGATGCCCAGCTAGCCAAAGCCATTGAAAGGATGAACATGAATTTCTACTTTGTCAGAGCCAAGATAGATAGTGACATATATAATGAAAAGAGGAGTAAACCTAAGGCTTTCAATGAGGAGAAAGTCCTGAAGAATATTCTAGAAGAATGTTCACGTCATCTCAAGGAGGCTCTCTCCAGTGAGCCTCCAGTCTTCTTAGTCTCTAACTTTGATACATCTAAGTATGACTTCCCAAAACTGGAAAGCAAACTTCTATATGATCTCCCAGCCCACAAGCGCCATGTCTTCATGCTGTCCTTGAGCAGTGTTACTGAGGCCACCATTAACCTCAAGAGAGATTCCCTGAAGCAGAAAGTCTTCCTAGAGGCCCTGAAGGCTGGAGCATGGGCCACCATTCCATTTGTTGGCATGATCAGGGATGAGTTAGAGGATCTGGATGAAACATTCAATCTCTTCAGGTCTTACTTTGGGCTGGATGATGCCTCACTGGAAGAGATTGCTAAAGATTTTAACATGTCTGTGGCTGAATTCAAGGTGCACCTTCGGTTTCCCCATTTGTTTACAGAAGATGACGATGTGTCCTTAGGGAGAAAACTATTGAAATATATCCAAAAGTTTTCCTCAGTTACTGGTGGTCCCGTTGCTGCTGGCATTTATTTCAAAAAGTCTTACTATTTGCAGAATCTCTTTATTGATGCTGCAGCAAATGATGCCATAGCTCTTCTTAATAAGGAAAGTCTTTTAGAAAACAAGGTGGGACCATATGTATCTAAGCCCCCCGATTACTGGGAATGACGGGGAAATGAGGCACAAGTTCCAGTCAGTGTTGACTCTTAGCCTTGTTTTGGACACTGACACATAACCCATGCCTGACAAACGAATCTTGTCTGTGGAGCTCAGAGGGCTCCTTTTTTCTCCCCTGGAGACAGAAGATCACTGTGGCAAGAGCTCAGTTGTGCTTTCGTAGGAAACAGTCATCAACACTGTGTAAATGCCTGAGGGAACCTAGTTTTCTTTAAGATAGTATGTAAAGCACACATGAAAATATTGATTGGATTCCTGATTTTATGGTCTAATGACTCCTGGATCCTTTACCCTTCTGAAAGTCTCCACACACTTCTGCATCTCACAGCCATTTCTGCTTTGTCACTTTTCCTTGAGGGCATCTGATGCCCAACACTGTGTAGATAAACACACCGCAGTAAGAGGTGGGAACCCCACACAAGAGTCACATGACAGATGGAGACTGTTGTTATTAGCAAAGCTCCATGCAGGATGAGTTTAGTAAAAACAGAAGTATAAACATTTGTATAGATCCTCTTGCCTCACACAAATAAGGATGTCTATTTCCTATCCTGCACTGGCAAATCAGAGTGAATTGAAATTCACCCAATGTGATTGGCAACTGCAACTTTAATTATAAACTGTCTCTCCTTGTTGTAATTTCACTCATAAAAATAAATAAAATAAATTTTAAAAATCTGCCTGACTGCTTTCCTCAAAAGTCGCAGAGCCACAGTTGGTCCTTGTTCTCATTCCAGCAGGGCCAGGCCATGGAGCTGCTGACAGCTTGTTTGTCCCTCTACCCTGTTGACCATTTGTGTCGATTATGAATTTTCTGGTTGTCTGACAGAACTTAGAACCGAGTGTGAGAGGGCTCCCTGAGAATCCCAATGAGAGATTATCTGGATTAGTTGACTTTATCTCTTTATGTTATTTATCAGTGACATCAAAGGACCATCTTAATGTGATGCAGGACCCTCCTCCCAACGATGGGATTCTGCCTGTGTAAAGTGGGTAAGGGTAGTTGAACATGAGTGCTTTTTACCCCTCTCTGCTTCCTGTTTTTGCAACCTGATTAGCTCTCTCGGGCCTCTACCGCTGGAACCTCCCCACTGAGGGCACTGCAACCTTCAACTGAGAGCTGAGAGAAGCCCTGGCTGCCTTACATGGCTTTGCAGGACATTTTGTCACAGCCACAGAGAAGAAACTCAGGTAGACACCTGACTGGGCTCTTGGTTAAAGCCCCTGTGGAATTTCCATACTGATAGCTTTCCCAGCAGACGAGGAGAGAGGCAGGCATGGCATCCCAGGGGCAGAAAATAAAGCACATGTTAGGTCAGTGTTGGAATCCTACAGAAAACCAGAGGCAGTGGTCAAGGCCCGTGTCCTCTGTCAGCTCCATCCATGTCCACACCACACTGATATTAGTGACTTCTGAGTGTGGTGACCCACACACCCGACAAAACAGCATGAGGGAGGAAGGTCTGCTTTGTCTCAGAGTCACGTTCCAGAGGTGGAAGGTGCCAGTGTATTGTGAGCTGAGGAGGGGAGAGGGGACAGCAGCCACCTTTGTCCCTGGATAACAGGATACCAGGGAAGTTTATTCCTTTAGAGCCTTGACCTCACAGTGAGACCAGCAAGGAAAGACAGAGTCAAGGTCACATGTGGGAACTGAGTCTGTGAAAACCCAAATCTGCTCACCTCAGAGCTAAGGCACCTCCACTGTCTCTGAGAGGAACACGGGATCTTTTCTTTAGTTACAGAGGAAATTGTAGGAGACCATTATCCTGGGACAACAGAAGGTACAATGCCCTGTCCCTGATGCATCTATGCTGTGGATGTGTTTGCATGTGTGTCTCTGTGTGTGTTTGTATAGGGTCAGCCTGCATGTATGTGTGTTTGTGTGTAACTGATGACCCTGTACTTGTAGCTACACACTAACTAAAGGGACTGGAACCCACTCAAGCATGGACTCTGACAGGACCTGCCATTCTTCCTAGTTCCCTCGGCCTTGCTGATAACCTTTAGGTTCCATTCCTAAAGCTGGCCACCAAGGTCTATTCCCTTATTTGGCCACTTCCTTCTCCTGAGGCTGGCTACCACGTTCCAGACATCAAAGATTTAATTTGATGTCCAGCGATCAAAAGCCCCTCTGACCCACCTATTTAACATGCCCAACCAAAATACCCCACCTCATCCTAGCCGACTCTGACACAGAACTCCCATTTTCCTTTCAAGGATGACACCTGCATGGTCATTTGCTGCTGTTTCTCCACCCGAGTCAGGAAGCAGCCACTTTACCTTTTCTTCCACACGAAATAAAGGATCTCACTTTATTTGAGTGTGGTTTGTGCCTTATCTGGGTTGGGAAACAGCGCTCTCTCTGTGCAGAGGTCTCCTCATTGGTTCTGGGACTCAGTTGCAATAATCACCCAGTCCTTTTTCACACACTCAAGTCCTTCTGACGTCCCTCATCCAGCAAGTGGTAAGACAGTGGTAAGTAAGTGGTTGACTGTAAGACAGTCAGAGACGGCAAAGCACAGCCCCCTCCATGTGTGGTTCCTGAGAAGCAGGAAGCAATTCCCTCCAGGCAACCCAGTGGCAGCTAAAGGAGCCTGTTACCTGGGGGCCAAGGAGAAAACACCTACATGCCCTAAGGTCCACTTGTATGGCGTCTGCATACACATTTGGCAATGTCACAGATGATTCTCCTTATAGCAGTTCTACTAGTGTACTCATTCTCCATGTTCTTTTTCTCCTTCCACACCAGCAGCTTTTAGAAATATGGATGTGCTGTGTGGTAATACAGGTCTTCCTGATCTGATAGAACGGGCAGACGTTGAAGCTGTAAAGCAGATTATATGAAAAAACTTAACTGTTGAAAGAACTGGGGAAATTTGAGTAAAATGCACAAATTGATTTTTTTTTTTACCTGTTTTTAAAACTTGGCAAAGAATTATACTGAAACAGAAAAGAACTTGCCTATGATAAATGAAGATTCTGAGGAACTTAATGGCTTTTAGGGATGGCTGCCTGTGGTCTTATAAATCAAAACTGGAACTGTGAGGAACGACAATGGGAAAGGTACGACAATGGGGTAAAACCCACTGAACTGTGCTCCTGTAAACTTCCGGTAGTCTGTCTCTGAGGTGAAAGCCTCAGAAGCTGTTTTGTGATTAACTCAGCTAAGAATTAAGAATACGGTGGCTGGCATGGGGCTTGGGAACTGGGAAAATGTCATAATGAAGGATGATGTTCTTGTTTCAAAGAATCCTTACATTTTTTGTGAACTGCTTTGCCTAAGTAATGATTAACCTGTGGCAAGAAAACAGAATCATTTTCCTTGTGTAAAATTTACAAGAAAAGACTGGGGTTTGAAGCTCAGGACAGAAGAAGAAGAAAAACTTGCCCTGCAGCTGATAGCCTGTCAGCTTGCATCAGAATCCTGAGTGTGTGTATGCATTTCACCTTCCAGACAACCCAGATTTGAGACCCACTTCTCTACTAAAGCTGGTCCCCGGTATAAGACCCCCACCTTGGTTGTTCTAAATGGTCCCCAGGTAATTGGGTGACAATCATCAAATGTCTAGTGTCCCCCACTCTGTTCTGTGGAACTGGGGAGACTGCACCCCACCAAGAACTTCACTAGTTACAGTGGGTTCCCATGGACTGGCTGCTAGTTAGTGCTGGTACATTTGTTCAGTCTGGTTTGCTAGGGAGCTCCCCCCTTTTCCCTCTTGGTGGTTGCACGGCCTAAATCTGGAGCCCATTCCTCCACTGAAAAAAAAACCCAAAAACAAAAAAAATAAAAATAAAAAAACAAAACAAAAAACCAAAGCAAAAACAAAACAGTTGACCAGCCCCAGATTCACCCGCAAACCCACCTGGGTCCCTCTCTGGGTTACAGAGCCTGGATGACTGCTACTCTGCCTCTCGAGATTCACAGGGACTTCTGGTATCTTAACTTTGACCCACTGCCACCAAGGTGACGGGCTCCACCCCCTCCATTCTGACTGGCTGGACTTTGAGATGTCTCCACCAAATCTCCAATGGTTACAACATTCAGACATCAAATTTCCTAAGCTCATTCACTACAGTACCCAGGCTTGGCCTCTACATCCACAAGATAAGCAATCTAAAAGGCCACCTAACAGCACTGGGAACCTAATATGATTCAGAGTCTTTAAAGTTAAAACAAACTCACAGGAATTGGAAAGAGATCCTTTATGTCTCTGCTTGTTTCTTTCTCTGCTCCAAACCTCACTGTATGCCCCCTGATCACCCTCCTATGGCCTCCGTGTTCTCAATGAGAGTACATGTATGCAACATTTGCATCATGTCCAGCAAATAGTGTCTGATGTTCACTACCTCCAGCTCTCACCATCTTCCCCTCCCCTCTTCTGCAGTATCACTCAGCCGTGGGGAGAGGATTGTGGTATAGAATTGTCATTTAGAACTGAGCACTGCACAATCTCTTGGTCTCTGAATGTCAGCCAGTTGTTGGTCTATTCGTATCAACAACTACTCAAAAGGCGGTTCTCTGGTAAGAACTGAGACATGTACTACTCTATGAGTATTAAGATGAACACTTAGGAACAATTTATTACTCTGTCTAATTGGCAGAAAAATAAAATTAGCTTCTCCCACTAGGGCCTGAGTCCTAGCCAGCTATGGGTTTTTAACCCAGTTAACAGTACCAGAGTCTGGTCTTGGGGCACAGGCTTTACATGTAACCAGAAAGTTACTGGTTACTTCCATAACATCTGTGCCACTGTTACACCGGTGGGAATATCCTGGTAGAGAATTCATCATTGTAGATTGCAGGACTCACAGCTGGGTGATACTGATGATTACCGTTCTCCTCCAGCAGTAAGCATGGAACCTTACTGTGTGGTACTTTCAGTCCTAGGGACTTACTGACAATTCTGGAGGTTAACCAGGAGTAATGGTAATAACCTGTGATGTTTAGGGGTCTATGAGATCCCAGTGACCAAAGAACACAAAACAGATTGCCTATGTTACACATTGAGCTTTTTATTTTGTATTCTATGGTATCTGGGAGAAGCACTGCCCCCTCCATGTAGGCTTGCTTCATTTAAACTCATTTTTACATTCCTAGGAAGATTCTATAGTAATAGGTTTCCTCTGGCCTTTTCAAAGGTCGTCAGTGTCAGCTATCCCTCCCTATCTGCCCTCCTCTTCTGAGGGAGCGTGTGTTAATACCTTCCACAATTTCTAATTCTTTTTTTCCTGGGACACTAAATTCTTTTCTTTCTGTTTCATTATTTGTAAACCTTGGTAGCTTCTACTGAACAGTCTGCTCCTGGTGTCCATTTATCTGCTTCTGTGTCCCACCGTACTGAGTTCCCCAACTGCACTGTGGCCTCAGGATGAAAATGAGCAGGTGGACAGCTGTCCCCAACCAGTCTGCTGTAACCATACCCCTGCCTTGGTGAGTAAAACACCCCAGTTCCTGGTCTTAGCTCCATATTTAATCAATTTCTGTGTTTTCAACATTTATCATGATATAGGAAAGACATTGGCTACCATGTTGGGAGAAGAAGCTCTCAGTGGCTGACATGTTCTGTTCTTGGTAAATCTGTCTCTGAACATGTGATGGTTTGTGTTCTGTTTACATTAAGTGTTCCTGCATATCTCCAGCACATGTAACCAGATATGAAGAACAGATCACTAACTCAAACTGTGGCATTTCCCCAGCTCCCCAAGGTTTGAGTTTGTTCTAGATCTGCACGACTGTGCAAGTGCAGACAGTGGGAGGTTGGGGCCATGGCCTGGGGTTCTGTCTGGTTATCTGAAGTACACAATCCTTCTGTCTCCTACCATACACAGCCATGTAATTAGTATATTCCTGTCTTAGAACTAAAAACAGCTCTTCCTTGGTTTCCTTGTGGGAGTCAAAATACAGTTCAAGAAATTGAAAGTTAGGGGTACAGTGCCTGGCTTCCATGACTCAATTATATAGTAATGTATCACAATTTCACCATGAAGATACTCTGTGGTTTAAAAGGGGGGAAAAGGACACTGTCTGTCTTTATCTCTGCAGCAGCAGGGGACCAGCGCAGAGCATTCCTAGAACACCTGGGGGTCCATGGTACAGAGGGAAAAGTGAAGCGGGAGTGAGCTGCAGGCCTCAGTGTCTCAGAGAAACCACACCTGCTTAATTCAGAGCTGAGATGTCTCTGAGAGGGACACTATGGTTCTCTCTTTAGTTACAAAGCAAATGATAGGTGACCTCACCATCCTGGATCAAAGAAAAAGCTGTGTGTGCATTCATGTGTGCACATTCTGGGTGTGTGTGTGTGTGTGTGTGTGTGTGTGTGTGTGTGTGTCTATGAACTGGAATATTTGTCTACCTGTTGGTAAGTATGTGCGCCTATGTAAAAGATGACATAGTACACATAGCTACTCACACAACTCTACACTTAACATGTGTGGATGTGAGAACACAAATCCCACACTTTCTTGGAATAGTGACATGCTGTGTAAAGTTGTTAATGATCAATGTTATATGAGGAAATCCTTTGCTCCTTCCTCTTCTCTTTTTCTCCTACTGTTTATTCTCTCTGCCTGGAAGCCCCATCTATCCTTCTCCTGCCTAGCTATTGGCCATTCGGTTCTTTATTAGACCAACCAAGGGTTTTAAACAAAGTGTCACAGTGTCACTGGGTTAAATGAATGCAACAGAAAAGAATGCAATACCTATTGGCATCATTAAACAAACAGTCCACAGCATAAATGAAGGTAACACATCTTCAAGTAATATTCCACAACAGTTGTGGGCTCAGAGGATGGCACTCAAAATCATGCAGAGGTAAGTCCTCACGCGCGGGAGTCACTTCTCAGCTCCTGAGCTCTCTCTGTCCTTTCCCACTCCTGTGAACCACAGCCTGGGATTCTTATCCACGGTCCCCTGCCTCCTGTCTCCAAGCTGCACTGTCCAGCTCTCTGCTCCCAGAAGCTCTAAGGACATATGTTCTGTGCTCTAGGTTTTAGTTTTCATTCATAAAAGACAAAATAAAGACTGATTTCTTACATCTAATGAGGTAACAGGAAAAATGAAGAAATCAAAACCCATCTTTGCAGTACTACCAAATAATGGGTCAGAAATTTAAAAAGTGGGAATCTAGACATGAGTCAGGACTTTCCAGGGCTTTGAGGACTCTTCCTCGCTATGGATCTGCTGAGGCGGCTCCCACATCTCTGAGAGGCTTCAGTGACACTGAGGACTCAGAACAATAGCACTCAAATTAGGCATGACAAGCCAAACCTCAACCCTGTGCAAGACAGACACATACTTCACTTCACAGAATACGCGGTGAAGGGAGCAGGACACCGATCAGCTCTCAAATATCTTTTTAAAAGAGGGAAGGTGAGGACTTTAAACACACAGCCGTCCCACTTTCCTTCCACAGAGAGAATTCCCCACACACTGCTTCTAAACAATTAACTGTGCACAAGTAACCCACAGGCCTGGGCCCACTGAGGAGACACAGCTCGTGACGGTAACACCCAATGATTTGTGACAAATCACAGCTTCAAGGACAGAATGTGTGGCCTTTCGCTGTCTTCTGTGTCTGCGCACTTTGTCCATTAATGACGTCCTTCCTGTCTAACAGACTGCTAGTTGTCTGATGCCAAGTTCATTGTGTTCTGCTTTACTGAGGAGGGTCTCTACCCAGGCGCATAAAGCAGCAAACAATACTGACTGTGACATAAGGGAAGATGCTGCCCCTCCATTCTGAGCTGGACTGCTGGACGCACTGAGATACAGAGCTCTGATTCTCTTCCCATAACCACTGTCTGCCCAGACTCCTGCTTACTGCCACCTCACAAAGGAAGCAGGACACAGAGACAGCCTGTTAGTCTCCCAAAGCATGAACTGAACCCTGAAAAGAAACAAGAAACAGCTCAGGTTGAATGTGGGACAGGCTCTGTTCTGCTGTCCCCCTCTTTTCATCACTATGCGGGCGGGGAATTTGCCAGTCTCCTCCATGAGGACAGTGGCTGTGACTGCAGAGCTGTCCTAGCCCTCAGAAAGCAACATGGATCCTGGCTCATGCTCACCACATCACTTTTGCTGGGAAAATCCTCCTCCATTCCCTGTGGGAATATCACAAGATTGTTGCTGCTTCCATGACAAGGCCAGAACACCCAGTCTCTGATTGCAGTCAGAAGTTCGCTGTCTGTTCAGCTGACTCCAGGCTGTTAGGAAACTGTGATCTCCCCCATCACCTGCATCAGACACACTTCCACACTGAGACACATGGTGCAGGGCCAGGGTTCTGACCAGGCATGCTTCGTTGCTCCTGTTTTCTTGTTTGAAGACTGCTGCTAGGTGAGACTATAGCAAACAAACAAGTAGATGCAGAGAGGAAACACAGTAGGCAAGGTTTCAGTGAGCAAGGCCACCATGATGGTCTGTAGCCATCTAACAGCCAGGGCTTGCTGGGTTTGAAGTGTGATGGTGAACATTGCGTTTAGAGGATAAATTTACCAAGTTAAGCATGTAAAAACAAAATCATTTTAGCTTGTATAAGCCATAGCAAGTTTTCTCCTACTTTGAAAGTGTTGCACCTGCACAAATCCATATGCACATGAATACACACACACACACACACACACACACACACACACACACACACACGTGCAAACACCTTGCAGCCACTGAGCCTTGTACACACTATTGTGTCAGGCTAATGAAGTCATCCTCCAGTCTGCGTTGTAACTAAAGAAAGGGCCCTAGTAATTTTCCCATGGGTAGTGTAGGTGCCTTAGCTCCAAGATCAGCACTTTTAGTTTCTCATGGACCTTGTTATTACTGTTGTTGTTGTTGCTGTTGTTGTTATTACTAATATTTTAGCTTTTAGAGACCATATTTCTCTGTGTAGCCCCAACTGTACTAGAACTCACTTTATAGACTAGGCTGGCCTCCAACTCAGAGATCCACCTACATCTACCTCCCGAGTGCTAGGATTAAAGGTTTGCACCACCACAGCCTGGCGGTCCAACTCCCTCACCGAAGGCTTGTCTGCTGCAGCATGGAGAGGGCTCTGAGAGCAAGGTCTTTCCTGGTCTCCCGCTCTCACTGAGCTGGGGACCCTTGCTATTCTTCCTCCCCCTCCCTCCCACAAGGTGCCCAGGGAGGTAATCCATCCGTCACACGCTGTCCTGATTAGCGCTCCAGTTACCGTGAAGTCGCCCCTCCGTTCTTCAGCATACAGAACTGCACTTTGACTCCCACATGGAAAGCAAGGCGTTTATAGTTGGGGGTCAGAAAGGAGGTTACCCCGTCTGCAGCTGCCTCTCCTGGTTGTGGCCTCTTACTGGATACTGGACTCAGAGGGCTCAGAAAGCGTGTGCTGAAGAAGCTGTGAAGTGTCTGAGCGCCCTGACCACACTTTGGAGGAGGCGGTTTCTCTCAGCACTTCCTGGTGTGATTCAGGTGAGATGAAGCAGTTTTTCTCTAGTCTTCTTTTCAAATCCTCGTTTATTTGCTTTGCCCTCTCAGCTTTTATCATTCACGTCACGTCGTCTATCTTCGCAGATCATTTTGAATTTCCAAAGTAATTGCCTTTGCATTCTCTGAAGGGACAG